CCCGCCGTCGCCAGGGCCGCGCGGAGGTCGCCCGCCTGGGCGACGGCGGCGGCGAGCTTCGCCTCGAGGGCGTTGACGGCGGCGTCCTTCTCCGCAGCAGACGCGGCCAGCTTGGCCTCGAGGGCGCCGAGGGCGACTTCATTTTCCGCGGCGGACGCGGCGAGCTCGTCCTCCTTGTCGCGGGCTGAATCTTGCAGGCGCTGCTCGCACTCGTCGAGGGCGGCGAGGCGCTGCGTCTCCAGGCGCTCGACAAGCTTCTCGAGCTCGGCCACGTCGCGCGCGTAGCCGGCCGCCGCGCCCTTGAGGCGGTCCAGGCCGACCTGGAGCTCGGCGACTGTGGCGTCGCGGGCCGACAGGTCCGCCTTGAGGGAGGCAACCTCCTTGCCCAGGTCGTCGGTGATGTCGACGCGCGCGGCGAGCTGCTTGCGGAGCGAGAGCTCCTGGGCGTGGTACTCGTCGATGGCACTCTCGTCCTCGCGCGTGCGTTTGGAGAGGTCGCGGAGTCGCGCGAGGAGAAGGTCCAGAACGGCAGCGCCGGCCGACGTCAGCGGGAGGGTAACCTCGCCCGGAGTAAGGTACTCGAGCTCGAGCCGCGCTGTGCGGAATGCGGAAGCGAGCGAGGCAATGATCTCGCCCGCGTCGGAGCCCTGGAAGCCAAGGTTTGACAGCGAGGAAGACAGAGAGAGCAACGCCGCAGAGCGATCCGAGACCGTTGTCAGAAGGGTGGTGATGCGGGCCTCGAGTACGGGGTCTGGCGAGGACGGGTTCGCGGCAATGGCGGCAACGATGGCGTCGCTATCCGCTAGTGCTGGTGTTGTGGTTGTAAATGCTGCCATCTTCTCCGACACGCGAGTGGCGAGGGATTGGTACGACTTTAGCGTCGTTGTGATCTTGGCAACCTCGAGTTGGAGTGATGTGAGCTCCTCCTCCAGAACCTGCTTATCCGGGTCAGGCAGGCTCGCCTGTACGCTGCTGCTGTTGGAGCGAGGGGTGGGTGAGCGCAGAGAGTTGGGTGTGCATAGCGCCATGGCAGCAAGAGGGCTGGTCGCTGGTGGTGTCGGGAACGAACCAGCTCCCGTCACTGGAGCCCCCTTAATGGTGCTGCGAGAGGGCGTGCTGCAGTGCAAGTCCGCCATGGTCATGTCGCCAAATACGTCGTCATCATCGTCGTCGTCGTCGCCGTTGGCTGAATGGTCTGCGGGGAAGCTGCCGGCGTCCATCATGGAGTAGTCCTCGGCAGCAAACGGATCCCTCGCCGCCATGGTCCAGTCGTGCCGTGGCGTATGATCAGAGATATTGGGGGCGCCAGCCCTGGAGGAGCGTCCCAGGAGCTGCCTCCTCAGATCAGCCACCTCGCGCTCCAGGTCAAAGATACGCTCCGTGTCGCCCACCACGGTATCAATCGTCTCATCAGGGTCCGAGGCACAGGTCTCCTGTGTGTGCTGCCGTTGGCTGTCGCGTAGTCGCTGTTGCGACTCACGCAGCTGAACGATTTCTGCGTCTTTATAAGCAAGGTCGTTCTTGAGCCTCTGGAGCTCGGCCGACCGCCTCTTCTTTTCGGCGTGGATGGTGTTCATCTCCTCGCTCAGCCCATTCCGACGGATGCGCCGTTTAACGCGGCCATCTAGCACCTGACGCAAGGGAACAATTGTGACATCCCCACTAAACGGGGACGACGGGCTGTCAAGGCCGAGCCCTGAACCTCGCCTGCTCCCCGCCGGCGTGCTTGAGGGCTTGGCCGGAGTCGAGTGTCGCCTCTTGGGTGCCGCCAGCGAGGTCCGCCGCACCATTGGCGTCAGCCCCGTCGATGAGGACACACTCGACAGGAGCTGGTCAAGAGCTGGGCCCGGGTCGGAAAACCGGACCTTCTTGCGTGGCCGGCCCCGACCCCGCGGGGTTGCAGCTATTGAATCTGTGGAGTCGGCCGGGGTGGGAAGGCCTGATGATGAAGCCGGAGAGTGCTCTGGCTTGCTGGACTGGACCGTCGAGGTGCTGACGCGGAGAGCCGAGCTGGAGCGGCGGGCCCTCCGCAGGGCGATTGGAAGATCTATGTTGCCCTCCATATCTGGTGGAGAGCCGAATACCTCTACCTGGGGTCGCGGCGGCGGCGGCCTAGTGTCGGTGATGTCGTGCAGAGTGGGAGCCGCAGCGGGAATGGGTATCGAAAGTGGTCCTTTCATGCACGGCGTGCGGCTGTCGAGGCCTCGTGGGAATGGATGTGGTGTGCGGAAGTGGACGTTACGGCTACGATGCGAGACAAAACAAAAACAACAGACGCAGGTACGCCGCGGATTCGCCAGGTATTATTGCTGGCCGGCCACCGGTCCCCTCGTCCAGGGGCCCCACGATGTGCAGGCAGCGAATAACTACCCCTAGTGGTTTGTTTACTCACAGACTGCCAATCGCAGCTTAGTGTTGCCGGGCCCAACCCCGCTGGCCGGTGGCCCGCGTGCCCAACTACCGCCCAGGACCAATCAAGCGCCGTCCCTCAGGCCTCACCAAACGGCCAGCGGCGCCTTTTGTGTCTCGTTGGGCATTGACATCTGCAGACATCTGCATGTGCACATGCTGCCACGTTGAATGGGTGCGTTGTCGTGCACATGACGGCTGCACTGCAATGCTCCGCGCCTCGAGTCGCCACTTGGGCAGGGGCGTGAATTCAGCTGTGGAAACCCAACCTCTTTCTTCACCTCTCCTTGCTGTTTGAAGCAATGACCACCCCCAAACAATCGCAGTCTGGGTCGCCTGTGTCTGCTCGTGGGTCGTTTCTGGGGCGACGGTGGTTTCAATTGTCCTGCAATTCAAAAGAGAAGCATGACGATGGATATGAATGAAACTCGAATCTCCATCATCATCAGTCGCTGAAAGCTTAGGGACTAGAGGAGGCCCATCGAGGTGGAAGCACCACGTGCTTTGGCTCCTTTCCGCCATGTTCGGACCCGAGATGCCCGTCGGCGATTACCTGCTTAGCCTCGGAGGCTGGTCAGACCCATGGACAGGGCCTTTGCTCAGCCTGCGCCGCTGACATACGGTGCTCAGTGGCCGCGCTGTTAGGTGCCAGGCCGGAGGTCCGAATGGGCTCTGCTGATTCCAAGCGGTTTTCAGCCGGTCCCGATTGTTAAGTTACTTGATTTCCATCCCATCGCCTTCTTTCTTGGTGAGCCCCTAGTCCAAGATCGACTTCGTCGAGGGGCTCTGTGTTTGTGAATCGGATCGAATCAATACCGTGTCACCCTCCCCGATAAACGCCCCTTTCCCCCACACGATGCCTCACCCCACCGCCGACCCGACGCTGGCCCTCCCCCGCATCCTCTGCCTGCACGGCGGCGGCGTCAACGGCGACGTGTTCCGCCTGCAGATGCGCGCCGTGGCCTCGCGCCTCTCGGGCCGCTTCCGCCTCGTCTTCGCCGACGGGCCCTTCATCTGCCCCGCCCACCCGGCCGTCGCGGCCGTCTACGGCAGCCACGGGCCCTTCCGCCGCTGGCTGCGCTGGCTGCCCGAGCACCCCGCCGTCGACGCCGAGACGGCCGCCGCCGAGGTCCGCTACCAGCTCCGCACCGCCATGGAGGACGACGACCGCGCCGGCGCAACGGGCGAGTGGGCCGCCCTGCTCGGCTTCAGCCAGGGCGCAAAGATCGCCGCCAGCCTGCTGCTGGCCCAGCAGGCGCTCGGGGAGAGGGGGGTCGCCCCCGCACCCGGCGGCCCCGAGGGGGTGCGGTGGCAGTTCGGCGTCGTCATGGCCGGGCGCGCGCCGCTCGTGTGCCTGGACGAGGGCATGGGCAGCATACGGGGCGTGCAGGAGGCTTCGGGCATCGGCGCCGAGTTCAAAGACTGGGCCGAGACGGGCGCCGGCGCTGGGGACCATATCCTCCGCATCCCGACTATACACGTTCACGGGCTCAAGGATCCCGGCTTGGGGCTGCATCGGCGTCTGCTCAACGAGTACTGCGGGAAGGAGTCGGCACGGCTGGTCGAGTGGGATGGGGACCACAGGATCCCCATCAAGGGGCCGGATGTCCAAGCCGTCACGGCTGAGATACTGGGGCTTGCGGACGAACTCGGGATCGAGAGGTGATTATGCTGTGGTAGTGGCATTTCGTTGGTGTCTTGTTCCCTGTCATCCGGATAGAATACCTAGATTTGTTATTTTCTTCCGTCCTTCCTCGGTAACTAATACTCTTGGAACGACCCGTGAACTCTTTTCGTGGCAGCACCCTTCAAAAGACCCGACTGGTCTCGGGCCGAGCATGGTTCTGGGCCCTCAGTTCTCAACCCCTCCCAGCGCCGAACCGAGCCCATGGCCGACTGTAATCTTGCTTCGTGCAGCTGTAGTTTTGCCGCGGGTGTAGAGCCCATGTCGAAGCTACGAGTAGAGACGCCATGCCCATTTGCAAAATGCATGTCGGGGCGGCTGCTTGATTGGTCAGGCATCGGCGTGTCTGGTCACTGCTGTTTCCTGATTGGCCAAGATGATTTCTCTCGGCGCCGCCACCGGGTTTTGGGGGTCCATTTGGGCTATAGACTTTTCAGAACACGTCTCTGTCGGGAGTGTATGGACAAGGCGATACGGTATGCTCCTCGAATACCTTGGACCTATATGCACAATTATCCCAACTTTTAGCTACAATACATGGCCTACTGGAGGTTCCCCATACTAAGACCTGTTGGGGCCTCCTCTCTAATCTTATTGTCTAGGTCATAACTATGTCAAGCGGCCACGAAAAACAGCACAACTTGACTGATGCTGTATCCAACATGCTCGAGGGACAGTGGTAGCAGATGACACCTCTCCTACAGGAGACTGTCCTGGAACCGGCCCGACCGAACAAAGTCCCTCGCCATCAAGGATAAAAGGATCATCAACATTCAAGTCGCTCAGCTGGCTGGCCCGCTGCCTCGCACCGTCGGCGTGCTGCTGAACAATGCTGTTCCCGGAACTGACCTGGTGCTGGAAAAAGGCGAGTCCGTCGGCCTGTCGGCGCCCATCATCGCTCAGCATGGTGTGCCTTGGCGAAACTCTGCGCCAGCTCGTCTTCGGCGTCCTTTTCCTCATCGTCGCCCCTCTGCTCTCGCTCCGTCTCTCCTGGGCCATTCTCTCCGAAAAGGCCAAGTCGCGCGTTGGGCTCGTCCTCACCGACTAGGGGGGATAATGCCATGGCGAGAGGCGCTCACGTGCTGCGCGAGGTAAAAACTTTTTAGTTCTGCTTGCCAGTGCTAACAACCTGGCCGACCATTCCAGGTGCTCATCTGAACAAAACTGGCTGGCAGCGACGGGGGAAGCCGCGCCATTCTGCTCCCGGCCATCTCCAAGCTGCAAATTAGCCCTTTTCTGCCGTTTGCGGTCCTCTCCAGGCGAGCAGCGGCGAGATCGGTGGGCGGGGTGGTATCCTTTCAAGGTGGCATCCTTTGAAGCTTGTCGCCAACAAGTGTTGGAATCCTCCGCGGCATTTCGTCGGCCGCCGCCGTGCTCGCTCGTTTCGCCCTGCCTGCCTCTACAGGCGAAGGCTGGCTTGATCGCGTCCTCCTCCGCACTGCCTCGCCCTGGTCCTTAATCGGCCTTCTTTATACAATCCCGGTTCTCTTTCACTCCCACCTGCATAGGGCTGATGTGGGTTGATGGAAGCGTGCATTGGAAGGAGTGAGTATGCCGGTCGATGCAAGAGAAAGGTAGGTGAAGTCCACCAAAAGTCATGCGTCGACGTCCAGAGAAACAAGGAAACGAATGATACGCAACGCCCAACAGCAAAAGCGAGGGCAGGCTTTTGTGCCGCCATCCAGTGGCAGGACGGCCGCGAGAATCAGACGGTAAACTTGTCGAGAAGCTCCAGGACGGTCGTGTACTTGACCTGGCAAGTGCCCGGTCCCACGCGCCCCAGCGCGCTGCGGATCTCCAAGCGGTCCGTCGCGTCCGCGTTCTCGCCGCGCTTCTCCATGAGAAGCGCCGCGGCGTCTTCGCATGCCGTCTGGAAAACCGACCGGGTCTGCAGCGGCCCGTCGGCGTCGGCGCCGCAGCAAGATATCGCTTGGGACGGCAGCGTGCTGCAACACGACACTGCCTGTGGCAGGGGTTGTGGCGAGGGGTGCCTTGGCTCCAACTCGACCGTGACTGGGACACCACAGACTTTCGGACCGCAACACGCCGCTGGTTCGGGCGGGATGGTGGCAAGCCCTTCCTTCTCCTCCCCCAGTGAGGCATCTGAAGGGATCACGTATTTCGCCGGAATCCGCACGCTCGGGCAGCAGGCTTTCACAGTGTCGGCCGGCGAGACGGCCAGCTGCTCGCGGTTTAGTCCCTTGCAATCGCTGCCGCCGCTCTGCTGAGCGTCGCCGTCCCCGAGGTCCGCCGGGCACGCTTCCTCTAGCTTGCGCTTTATGCCACCGCTTGCCCAGCAGCGGGCACGGCAGCCGCGTCGACGACACTCCCCATCAGGGGCGGGATAGCCACCACATCCGAGGAACTAGCACTGCCCGTCGCCGAGCGGTCGGACGAGCAAGGGATAAGTGGCGCGCAGGTCTGCTGCGGCTTTGCCTGGCCGCACTGCGGGGCTTCCTCGCCCACATAGCTAGGGGCGACGGCCGCAGGTGGCGCGCTGATTATGGCGGGGAGTGCGGTCGTGTCCAGCCTCGGCGGCCCGCGTGTATTCTTCTTCCCACCTCGGCACGAGGAAGAGGTCCCAGGGCCGCAGCTTGGCGCGGGCGTCGCTTGCGGGGCTGGGGTGGACTGCGGCCTGCAGGCCTTCTTTGTCCGGCCCCACGGTTAGGAGGGCACCCAGTACTACAATTTGACGTAGGGGCCGGCGGCAACACAGCCGCCGGGACTATCTGCTGCTTCATCGGCGCCAACACGGCCGCCGGGGCTATTTGTTGGTTCATGGGTGCCAGTACAGCCTCTGGGGCTATCTGATGCTTCATCGGCACCAGTTGCTGCTGTTTTGACAACCGCCCGAAGTGCGGGGGCGATTCGGGTGGCGGGGTGGGCAGCGCTCCCTCGGGAGGCACGTTTCCGGACACCCCCGTGCGGGCATACTCGTCCACCTCGGCCTTGGGGCACGTCGTACGCGGCAAGCAGCCCGCGCAGGCGGCGGTTCTCGACGGCGACGGCGTGGGCCGCCTGCTGCATCTCCAGGGTGGCCTGCGCCCCCTGGCGCTCGTAGTCGGCGACGCGGCGCTGCAGCGACTCCAGCAGCTCCCTGCGGCGGGCCCGCGACGCCCGCTAGTTGTCTCGGACCCGGGTGGCGGCATCCTTGGGGCCGCCCTCGATCTGCCGCTAGTCCTCGCCACCGGGGTGAACGACTAAGCCTAGGGGTGGCGGTGGTGGCTGATGTGGCTTCTGCCCGCGGCCCTCTGTTAGCTCCCACTCATTTGGATGCAACTCCCCCTCTACCATGGAGGTCGTCCCCCGCCAGCTGCTTCATACCTTTCTAGTCATCTTGGGGGCAAGCTGAGATGTCGATGGATAACATTTCGGCAGGTGAGGAATTCGTTTGATGATTCTCGGCAGACCGACATAGGTCGGCCTCCGTGCACATGCCCATGGCGGGGATGCAGCCAGAAGCTTGAGATGTAAAGCTTATTCGCACGTCTCAGGTATGACCTTGCACCAGCCACAGCGCGCCACGTCGTGTTGGGATCGGATGGCCTTTTGGGGTGCCATTCGCTTCCCTTTCCATCATTTTGTTCATATCAGAGCTATGGCAGGACTACAACTTTGGGGACAGCATAGTGAACATGCTGCGCTCTGTGTCAAGGACTTGCAAATTAAACTGCCGAGAGGAAGCACAAGTGACCGGTTTCCCATTTCATGCCTACTATCTGGCTGCCCAAGTCGCTACCTTTAATTAATAGCCAGGCTAGTGGCCGAGCCGCCGTATCGATCGACGGCTTTCAGCACTCTCTCTCCCACTTCTTCTCCTCCTTGGTACCCGTCTCCTCCTCCTTGGTACCCGTCTCCTCCTCCTTGGTACCCGTCTCCTCCTCCTTGGTAGCCGAGGGGTTGACTGGGTCCGGGAACCTCAGCTCCGAGTACTGCTCCAAGGTCTTGTCCATGATACCCTTGAAGACGGCTTCGACGGCGGGCTTGACGGTGATCATTGTCTTGGACATCGACGCCGAGACCCCGCTCCACCAGGACGCCATACGGGTCGTTTGGGGTTTTGCCAGCCTTAATCCAGAGAGCAGAGGTCGACAGGATATCGCTCCTTCCAGGCCTTCGACTCGACTCACTTCGTTTCTGGGCTACAGAGAGAACCCAATCTGCTTTGTTGTTCCACGCCACCCGAGAAATCCATTCGGCCCAACCGGAAGGCGCTACCATTTTGTGGAACATGAGCTGCTCAAGTATGTCAGGGACGACAGGGCGTAGCCTGGGCAGGACATCCCGAGGATACCATATCCACCTGCACTGGAAGCAACTGCCCCTGCAAGCTTGAACAGTCCTGCTTTGAACCGCGAAACGTGCTGTGCCAATTTTCTCTTAGTCACCAAGATAAGCACCAAGTGTCTGAGGAGAAGCCAGTAGCAACCAGAACAGCAAAGGGGTTCGGGATGGCTAGGGCAAGCACCCGAGAGGCGGCCAAGGGGGCGGGTTCGAGACGGTACAGCTAATTATGCCCACGGCGATATGAGACAGCCAGTGAAAGCCGGTGTGACCATTTGGCTAAAGAGTGGCCAGATAATTATCTCGGTGTACTTAGGTATACAAAGAGCGTTGAGAAGATAATCACTTGTGCAGTCCTCTTTTTCACGACATTCCCATCAAGCAAGCCATGAAAACGATGGACCTTTTCCCACAAAACCCAAAACCTCAGCGACCGACTCCTCCTCTCCCCCTCTAGCGCTCGCACACGCACTGGCACGTGTACCAGCCGCAGCAGCAGCCGCCGGTGCGGACGGCCGTGATGCTCCTCCAGTTGGTGCACTTGCCGCCCGATGCCTCGTCCTTGCACTGGGAGAGGCACGTCTGTACGTTGCTGTACTGGCGCAGGCACCCGCCGCGCGCCTGCCACGTCACCTGGGCCAGCGTCGACATCTCGCCGGCCGGGCCGCCCGGCCCGTCGGTGGCCGTGGCGCTCTCGAGCGGCGCCGCCGGGCCGGCCGCCTCGCCCGCCTCCGTCGGGGAGGGTGCGCGGCGGCGAGGGCGGCGAAGAGGGCGGTGGCGAGGACCTTGAACTGCATTGTTGCCTTGTGGG